AGAGAGAGAGAGAGAGAGAGAGAGAGAGAGAGAGAGATGGGGGCTTATTCTATCATCATCATCATCATCCCCTGGCGTTTAAGGTTTATCTGGATTTCGTGTTGTCACACACCATACAAACCTTAATGCTGAATGTGCGCAGGACAAAACCCTTCCCTGATCCCAGTACCCTTCAAAGCTGCGCATCATCCATTGCAATTGTTTTCCTAAATTCTTTCTGTGGTCTTGGGGGACCCCAGGTTTTAGGCTAGGATGAAATTTAGTTTGGGCAGGGGGTTATATAAACCAGCTAGTTTGTTGTGCAGATTGAAGCAGTTGGTTTGATTAAATAAACCGTGGCTTGAGTGTAATGTGTGCAAACCCTAGTTGATCAGAATCGTGGATAGGAGAATTTACCAAAAATCACACCTTGAAAATAACATTACTTTTTCTGTAGATACTGTTTTTGGTCCCACAGCCTCAGCATATTCTTTTGGAAGGTTTTATGTTATTCTAGAGGTCCTTTGATCTTCTTAGGTTTCATATTTAGGAACTTGAAAAATGTGCTATGCTATGCAGAAAATTTGGGGGAGTGATCTCACTTGCATATGGAGGCTGTAGTTTGTACAGCTGGAAAATTACAGAATGTTTACTATGGAATATTGTTGTTTCCTCAGGGTTAAAGCAATCTGGAAAAGGAAAAAACATTTGAAAGTAAATGCTATTGACAAATTAGTCCTGAATTGATACACAGAGAACTATGTCTCTAACATGCATAGCTGCATCAATATATTTTGCTTTTTTTGAATGTGTAATATAAAGTTATCTGACAAATAGTTACTGCATCTGGAACTATGGTAGGATTTTTAAAGCGTGTCAAAACTTCACTAGAAAACAGATGTTTTCACTGTATTTACTCACTGATTTTTTAGAATAAAATGTTGGAGCATTTAAATAAATATTTAGTTTGTAATATTTTTAATCAACTTCTGAGTAGAACATTGGAAGTATTTAGTTATTTAGTAATTTATCTTGTATCTATGAATTCTGGAAAATTTAGTGTGATAAATATTATTTATCAAAGTTTCTTTTAACTGTATAAATATATTATCTTGTTAGCATGCTTTTTGATTTACCAGTTACTTTTTGATTTGCATCTGTTAAACTTATATTGGTAATTTTCTCTTTGCATTTTATTTTCAATAACAATATTCAGTTATATAATAAATGATGAAACCCTGAAATGTGCATAATATCCATTGTGGAAATTTTTAGATTCTGGAACTGGTGACAGTTGTTTTAAATAGCTTTGAAAATAGCCTTTTTGGGGTATCAATACTTTTAATTTTTACAGGTTCAAATTAAAGCCTTTCATTATTATGTTAAAATAATAAATTATGGTAAACAGAACTTAAGTTTGCATTCAATATTTAGTGTATGATTTATGTATTTTAGTTTACACTGCTAACTTTATAAATAGACAGGATATATATCCTGGAAAGAGTAATTTTATTTATTACCTATTTTCTTACTTCAACCAAAAGATATACATATAGTTTTTATATAATTTGAAAATGCTAATTAAGAATACCCCTTTTCTAAAAACAACAACAAAAATAACCAAAGAAATTTCTGTATAGGGGATTCTGAAAAGAAGTTATATATATTTTAGGAATGGATTTTCATGTATTATTTACACTAATTGTTGTAATACCTATGCACACTGGTGCTGCTTTGTAACAATTGATTTATTTTACTATCCAAGAATTTGTACGTTTTATCTGCAGTTAAATAGAAGTTGAGATCTGCATTTACGTAGTAGGAAAACATTTTGTATTAGGAAACCCATCTTTGTGAATACCATTATGGAGCATATTTATGTATATCTAGAAATATGCAAAGGTACTGTATAAGTCAGATATAAATAGACCCTCGGAATTCTCTTATCACCAAGAGAGATAGGCAACTGAAAGCATTTTGGCCTACATACTATATAGTTTTTATAATCCTATTTTCAATTATGGGATTAGCTACTGTGGCCATTTCCAAACTGCTTTGGATTTATTTTGTTTGCTTCAATTAGTCTTATATAGGCTGCTTTTATCTGCTTTCATAAGGTTTTAGTCAGATGCAGTAGATCATTTGGTTGAAACAACTGATTCAGCTGTTTCAGCTTGTATGCATTCCTTTAATTGAGATAAATGATTTCAAAATAAGACAAAAACCAGGTGTGTTGTGAATATATGATTTTCATCATAAATGTCATGAGGATATATTTTTTATTTATAGTATATAATACAAAGATGTTGCAGATCATTAAATTCTTCTGAATATATAAAAAAATTGGTCCATAAAATCCATGTAAATTAAATGATTGTTCAAAAGACAGTCTTCTGACAAGTCATCATTTCTTAACTCTGATCTGGCTGTATTAAGTAACTGTTTTATCACTTATATGCCTTTTCCTAGAGACTAATAGATGAATGTATGAGGCTATTATATTCCACCAATGGAATATAATACTTCTGGAATACAATATATCCTAGCCTCATTATACTGTTTTTCCTCACAGTTTTTTTCTACTGCTTTATAATTATTTGGGGAGTGGTAGTGTTGATACAGTGTGTTTCAAAGTTATAGTATTATTTCATTTCTGAGTTGTGAGGATAGCAAGCAAGGAAAATCAAGTGGGAGTGTTACTAGGCATTAAAAAGAGAATGGAATTGACCATAGTAGATTCAAATAAAGTTAATTGATGAAAATGGTTTCTGCCTCATATCTGAAAGGGCTCCAGTGGGAATCATGCTTAAGGTTATTTCTACTGTCAATGTCTTTGTAATCTCCACAATAGGGGGAACTGCTCTTAAAAGATTTCTGGGTAAAATGTGATACTGTTGCATCATACATAAAGAATAACAAGGGGGGGATATATCAGAGTTGCTGGATAGTGAGATGGTTGGCATATAAATTGAATAAATAAATAAAAATATAAGGCTAATATTAATTAACTGTATTGGTTACTATTATGATTCATATCTAAATGTGGGATGCTTGTCATTGCTTTCAAAGGCATCTACAACCTAAGGATTTATCTTTTCAAGTATTAGGAAGAATAAAATTTTAACAAGTTTCCCACAAACCTTCATTATTGATTGTGCTGTCTGAAGCGATGTCAAGAGAACAGATAGCTACCTTGGTGACAGAGACAAGGCAAGATAAGAATAATTTGAGGCAGAGTAGGTTGTCTATGTATATGCAATTCTTATCAGAATGGAAGATTACTTAAAATTTAAGCACCCCTCCAAAGGAAAAATAATTAGAGAGATATTATAAATACACAACTGCCCAATTCCCTTCTTTAATTAGGATTACTCAATCTTATGAAGCAAATTTTGTTTATTTGATCTTTTTCCCTCAACAAACATGAGCATTTGGCACACTCAGATATATATGGGCATGCATTTAATTTAAAGCAGGGGTGGTGTGCTTTGTCATTCACTTTGGTTCTCCTTTTTCTCCCTTGCAGCCAGTGTGAACGTTTTGGTTAATCCATCACTTTCAGCACCTTCATCTTTTGCATATTCTCAATGAATGTGAGTAGACTGCCTTCCCAAATAATTATTTGGAGAGGGGGGAACTTCATGCTTCTTTCAAGTAAATATAGTATGTCGTTTCAAAGGCATGCTGTAATGAATCCTAGGAACACAAATGGATATTTCCAAAATATTTCAGAACAAGGACAAAAAAGCATTTAGATATAATGATAAAAGCTATGATAGTTTCCATAAAATTATTCCATTTTCCTGAATATATTTTAATATGCTCTTTAAAGTCTTGAGTATACACCATAAAATTATATTGTCTTTTTTCCCTGCATGTATCTCCTAGTTAGTAGCTACAGGCAATAATATATTGGCTTGAAGAGTAGACTTACATAAAATAGCATGAGTATTGGGACAAAACCAGGCAATGGTAATATATCAAATTAAAAATAAATGTTTTGAATATTAGCCTCTGAGAAAGCACAGTAATAAATATTGGAAAAATGTTGAAAAATATAGTAAGACTGCAGTGGTAGCCGATGGGAAAATGTTGACGTATAATGTAAATATTTTATCAATAAAAGCGGTATACAATGGAAGTAAATAAATAAAATAAATAGAATACTAAGAATGATTCAGCATTTAGTGAAACAAAAATTATTTTGGCTGTTTAATATATAAATAAATTGCTTATGGTAATATTAAAGGTGTATTGATATAGTTGATTATACATATTGGTAGACTGTTTAGCAAAGAGTAAATGGAGAAATAGTAAGATGTGAAAATGCTGGTATAACGAGAATTGTTTGTGATGAGAAATGAATATTTGTCAAATAAAGCAAAAATGTATAAGAGCATGCTTCTGTCAAGTTTGTTGTATAGTAGTAAGAGTTTGGCATATCAGGAAAGACATAAAATGAATACAGTGCTAATAAGTTATTCAAGGTATATGTGGCACAGCCAAAAGATGCAGAGTTAAGAACAAATAGGTGCTGAATGAATATGGATTGAAAATAAAAGTGAATTACTGGTATGAAAAAAGTATGTTGATGTATTGTGGTCATATAGACAGGATGAATGATTAAATTGCAAAACGTATATGAAGAAATGATCTCNTACAGTAATAACTCCTGCAATTTGAGTCTGTGAAACCTGGTTGATTCCAAGAGTGACTTCATTTGAGCCTTGGTTGCTTTCATCATCAATGGAAAAAGATAATATTGCATATGTTACAAGAGAACTATTTATTTATATTATATTACCAGAATGTTATTAAAATGTTGTTTTAGCCCTGATCTTTGTCTTTTCAAAGTCTAAAAACTAAGATCGGGAGAACATAATATATACAATTTGTGTACTCCCAAAATGCATACTCCCATGTCTGATCTCTGTTCCATGGCCGCCCCCACCATCAACCATATGTATACTTGTTGCATGGCACAATGCTACACAAGTGCATAAAACTGATAAAGCAGATTCTACACTATAAACAATTTTACAATTGCTTTTTATATAGTAATCTTTTGGCTTTAGTGTGATGAATGAATCTGCCCATTATGGCTCAATGCTATATATTGCAGCATGCCATGATGACTTGTTCAGAAAATCTTGGTTGGTCTTTTGATTTAATATTATGTATGTCTGCAGTCTGATGTGTCAAAAATATCTTCTGAATCTTTATTGTTCTCTTGGAACAAAGCTGTAGCCTGATGTCTTTTGCAGGATTTTCAGTAGAACTACTAAAAGTCAGGGTATTAATCCTATCATTTTTTTGAATAAAGGGACACCATGTGGCGGATTTTCACAGGCTCACTGCTTGTGGAGGAGAAATCTAGCGCTTTGCTACATGATTTGCGTGAAACTGAGGCTTGGATTTATCGGCTTCTTCGCTCACCTGTGCCAGTTGCTGGCCAGAAGCGTGTGGATGTGGAAGTCTTACCTCATGAATTGCAGCCAGCCTTGACGTTTGCCCTCCCCGACCCTTCCCGCTTTTCTATGGTGGATTTCCCTTTGCATTTGCCCTTGGAGCTGTTAGGTGTGGATGCTTGCTTGAAAGTACTGTCCTGCATTCTTCTGGAACATAAGGTGAGAGGAAAATGTGGCTGATTCATTGTAAATAATTTAGCAGTGAGAACTGCATTGCCTTTCCACAATGTTTCAGTAGCGCTTTAGCATGGAAGATTAGGTAGATTTGTCAGAATCAATAATTTCCTATTATTGTCCATGGAAGGATAAAGGGTGCGTCCTTCATAATTGTATTTTTTGTGTAAAATAGGGTTTGATTAAGGAAGCAGCACTGAGGATGAAAATAGAACTGAGTAGCCTATAAGAAAATGTAGNCCCTGTAGGTGGGTTGGTCTGAGTGACTGGGCCAAAGTCAACCAGCTGGCTTTAATGCCTACAGTAGGACTGCCTCCCACATATGTTTGCAAGCTTTTTGGGTATTGCTTGACATCACTTTATTGAAAGACAACTTGATATGAATGATAATATGCCAAGATCTCTGCATTTCTTCTGATGAAAACATTAAAAATAATCTGGAAAAACTTCATTATAAACAATCTGTAGGTGATGTAATATAGACGTTGAACTTCTTAGACTATTTGATTACTAACAAGTAACCAATGCAATTAAATAAGAAAGAAAGAAAGAAAGAAAGAAAGAAAGGGAAAAGGTGCATGTGAAATATTTCTGAGTTACTGTGAAGTCAATGATCGCAAGCAAGGTGTAGAAGAAAAGATAGTCTGCCAAGTGTATTTCTCCTTTTAATACCCACATTGGCAATAGTAGCAGTGTGCAATTGCATATTGTCCAACTGCTGAGACATATACTTTCTCTACCTCCCTTATAGGAAAAACAGCATTGAATCTGTTTCTCCATCTTATGATAGGGGCAGAAGGTAGTTAATGGGTGTTTTGGGGAGGCAAAAATGTTGGATAGTAAGATCACCCAAAGTTCCTCTTTCATTGCTGATTGTAGCCTCCAACAGTTGCTTTTCACTAAAAAAACAAGCAGCGTAAAGAATTTACATAGTTTTATAACGTGACTTGCTCCCTTAACTCAATCTTTATTCACTTTTTAGCAGGGCATTTGTAATTGGTGATATTACTTGCTGTAATTTATATTTATTTGTTTGATCCATTGTAGACATCACCCAATTCCAACTGATTCTGGAGAGCTTGTAATATAAACATGATAAACATCCCACCCCAAACCAAGATAGAATTTGGCCATACAGCATGACAAAAAGTAAACAAACAGACAACCAACAAGTGGCCCTGTCCAAGCCATGAGGGATCTACTGGGACTGTAAACCAGTAGTTTACAGAAAGCCAATGACATGCATTAAACTTAAATTTAGTTAGTTGTTCAGTTAGTATTTGAAGTTTATAATCTATATCAGGGGTATCAAACTTGCCATGTCAATTTGTCATCATGTGACGTATTGCGACTTTCTTCCCTTTGCTAAAATGGGATGGGCATGGCCAGCACATGACACATCCGGCCCACAGGGCTCAAGTTTGACACCCCTGATCTATAGGGTTAGTAATTTAAATATTTTCTCAAAAAATTACTTTGATATAGTTAAAAGCTTATATTGTGAGTTTTGGCCGCTTTGATTTTGATTCGAATTTTAGTTTATCTATTGATTCACTTAACTGATTAATGCATCATTCTCTTTTACTGAAAGTTATCCTTTCCCACCCTGACTTTCTTTCCTTTCTTACATGGAAGTAGACATAATGACTTATGGTACCTTCTTACAATTGAATTAGAGACCTCAAATATAAAACCAGTTTATCACACTATCAAGGCAGTCTCACTATTGCCTCTTTTTGCTTGGTGAAAAATGATCCATTTTGTTAACTAACCTTTCTTGTTTCCATCATCTAATTTTCCATTTAAGGCTCTGCAGTCAGTAATTATAATTGTATCATTAAAATATTTTTAGCTATTATGGTATGATAAGTATATAAATCATAAGAGTATATTTTCGCTATTCTGTCCAAACCTGTCAGGATTCATAAGCTCTCTTTGACATATTACTGGTCATGAAGATGACTCATTTCTCTTCTTTCTGCAACCCAACCTACAACCCCCATTTACAGAAAAAGAGTCCTGTGGTATTTGTGGTATTTCCATTGGGAAGATTTGCATCAGTGTGACATTTCTACCTTAGTATATTTACTTAGTATATTTCAATAATTTTATACTTGTATTCCTGTAGGCAACCAAGTAGTGATAGTGTGGCACAGACACCTGAACTACTGCGCCGTTACCCACTAGAAGACCACCCTGATTTCCCACTGTCTCCCGATGTGGTCTTTTTCTGCCAACCAGAAGGATGCTTAAGCGTGCGGCAGAAGCGGATGAGCTTGCGAGATGATACTTCCTTTGTCTTCACACTCACAGACAAAGATTCAGGCATCACCCGCTATGGGATATGCGTTAATTTCTATCGGTCCTTCCAGAAGCGTATTTCCAAGGAAAAGGGTGAGGGAAGTGGTGGACATCGTAGCCGAGATGGACAGAAGGCACCCAAATCTGGGGATGCTTCTGCTGTGCAAGAAGAAAGAGTTAATGAGAGCGGTGTCTCTCTCCAGCCACAGAGCACAGAGCCAGTTCCTGATACAAACCGGTCACCTCGGAGTAAATCATCAGCAAAAGGCATTCATCGTTCTCGTAACAGTACCCTGACCTCACTCTGCATTCTTAGTCACTATCCCTTTTTTTCTACCTTTCGCGAATGTCTGTACACTCTGAAGAAGCTGGTGGACTGCTGCAGTGAGAGGCTCTTAGGCAAGAAGCTGGCAATCCCTCGAGGAGTGCAGAGGTATAGATGGAGTGGGGGTTCCCCCCCCCCAGATTCCAAATCTAAATGATACAGTGGAGTATAAAATCTGCTTCATATAATCGGCTATTTGCCTAACAAAATAAGAATGACCTAGATGTCCTTCTCTTTTCATGTGAGAATGTGTAGGTTGCATGAAGACCACAGAATCTTTAGAGGGAGTTTGTTGGTAAAGTTGCAAAACTTTTTAATACTATCTTGTTACTTATTTTCTAGAAAGACAGTTTCTATTGCTTAAATAGAGTGGCCAAATTAAAATACAGTACACAGAGGTTTTGTTTTTCAAACAGTGATTTATTTACACGGCACACACACACACACACACACACACACACACACACACACACACACACACACACACAGGGATACCAGGCAACCAATC